TAGTGCTCAAACCCACAAGATCCGCCACCAGGCTCCGATGGGGCTCCCGTCACGTCCCGGCTCGCGTTATTCAACACAGGGGTATACGGTCAGTGCACGCCATTTGCTGCCCGCTTTTGCCGCGGCACGCGTGCAAGTGCACTAAAGGGGTGCAGCGAATGGGGAAAGACGAAGAAAATGGAGCTACTGTGACCGTCAGATAATTAATTGAAACAATGGAGCAAGCGATCTTGTCCGGCCAGGCCAGGGCATGAAGTGGTTCAGTTGTTTATTAGATTTGCCCCGTGCTGCCAGAAGTCAGAACACAAGCAAGCTTCAGGCAGAGTGTTGCGAAAGATCGTATGAAGTCTCCAATAAAGCACATCGATATTGTCAGACAAAAATTGGATACATGTAAGTTATGCATTATCGATTTTTTTTGAAGGATGGAGCTGCGTATAAATCCATGTTAATGGCTCCACATACTTTTGCAGTAGGACCTAGGCGTGCATTTCAGCAGCTATTTTGATTTCAATTTTAATTTCAACTGCCTGAGGGTTGAAGCTGAATGTAAACACATTTGAGTTGTTACTATGCATAATTTCCGCTACTAGATTCGTGTTTGAGCCACTTTGAAGAATGCTTCCCTTTTCAAAATTACCGACACATTAGTCGCTGAATGCAATTAATGTTTCCTTTTGATTACACAAAGATCCATTTTGTAAGAATCGCTTAAAAACTTGGAGCGTTTCATTCCGCTGCAGTTCGCTTTGCTGACTCATTACGCCTACAGTCCATTTCAGTTCGAACGTTTGCCAACTTCAACACGGGAACAATCTGGTGGCGGAGTCTAAAGTTTTCAGTGTTCAATCATTAGTTGCTTTTATTGGCTGTTAGCTAGCTCTCTGAATGAGCAGCATCGGAAGACCGAAGGGATGCAGCTAAATTTGACCTTGTCTTGTCTTGAACTAGTTTTGTGAGCGATTCAATGCATTTTGACTTTTTAGTTCTAACGCTACATGTAACTGTAATTTTATGGGTGAGCACAAAATATAGCAGCAAAGCCAAAACGAGATGGGGTCTGATTGTGTGTGTTACTGCTGTCTTGGTAACTAATGGTCGTTATTGTTAATGAATGTTCAATGTAACAGTTGAAAGGTGGGTTTGTGTTCTTGTAAGCTCCAGAAATCAAAGGCATTTGGACTGCAATAGACCTTATCAACATTCACTGGCGGTCGCAGCCGCTAGCAAAAGGGGGGGCCAAAGTCACACTCGCGGGACATACCATTATCCGTCACCGGGAGGGGGGGGGGTGATCGGCTAATTTTTACGTCCACGAGGCGCCGCACGGATCGGTGAAGCATAGGTATACTGGAAGGTCAGGCACGCGGATTCATGACCTTACCACTATAAAACAATTCGGAAAAGTACAGATACATCTTGCTAAAAAGTACAGATACCTCTTGCTTTGAACAAGCATGTGAAACCCAGAGAGCATTGTTAGACTATGACATTTACCCATATAGGTACCTAGTTGTGTGGCGGCGGGAGAGAGTAGGTACACCGGCCTCTGGAGACCCCCACAGGTTCCGAGCTTTCAGAATTGGCATCTGAGGGCCGCGCGCGACTCCTGCGGGGCTTCGCAACGGCTCTGTTGGGGCTCACTCAACCTGCCTAGTCCTACTGCTAAAAAGACTGGCCCTGAGCCCTAAGGACTTCATCAGTCTCTGCCAGCCCCAGGACCCACACCGGCTCATGGGGTCCCGACCTCGAAATATGAGGGAATCAGCGCGGGACCATCAGGACGTAAAGCAATCTCGATCAGGACCAACGTAAGGCTGTGCCGGAGACTGCGTGAGCCCTCTGATCTTCAGAAACCCACCCATGAGTGTATGTTTTCATGTAGAGGCTAGTTTAGGGCCCTCAGAGACCAGTACAGGGCCTGCAAACTACAAAGGCCAGTAGTTTGAGACCATCAGAGACCGAGTTAGGCTCTCAGAAGCTAATGTGGGTCCTTACTCATTACAGGCCAGCATGGGCCCTCAGAGGTCAGCGTGGGGCCCTAAAAGACCGGCATGAGCCGTCGTTGGACCCCAGAGGCCAGCAGAGGGCCCTCAAAGGCCAAGATGGGCCCTCCTCAGAGGCCAATGCAGACCCTTAGAGGCCGGCATCGGGTCTTCAGCAGCCAGTGCGGGGCCCTTATTGGCACCTATAGGTTCGTCTTGGGACACCAGAGACAGAAATAAGGCCACCGGAGACCGGTGTGAGACCCTCAGACGCCGGTTGGGACCACTGAGGCCGGTTAGGGGCCCTCATAGGCCAGATGTGGGGCCTCAGAGGTTGATGTAGGCTCTTAGCGGTCAACGTAGGCGCTTGACCGCCACTGAAGTTCCCTCACAGAGATCAGTGTAGGACGTGCAAAGACCGGTGTGGGGGGAGCTGGGCGTGGGTTTTTTAGCCTCGTGACGATCGAATAATTGCCAGGGCCCCATACACCTATATGGGGGCCCATTGGTTGTTTGAGGGGGGGAAATGATATGATGGCCCCCTTTATTGACCTTTGGGGGCATGGCCCTGATGCCCCCCCCCCCCGGCCCCCGCGACCGCCACTGTGTACACATTACACACATGCCTCTGAGATTACATACTAGCTCATGCAAACTCTATGCAGGCCCCGGAGGTCCCACGCTAATCCTTAAGAAACCAAGCCGGCATACGGCGTCACCACCGGGCTTCTGAGGTGCACAGCACCAACCCATGAGGTCTTACTTTAGTGTCTTGGAGCCAATCTCCTTTAGCAGGGCCCACCCGCCACTGCCGAAGAGGGTCTCATGCCAGCCATTGCTGAATGCTGGGCCTACGAGAGCCTCAAGTAAACCCACGCTGATATTCCATATAAGATCCGGCCATACTCGTGAACCGGTGCCAGCGACGCTGACCGCCAAATTGACAGAATGCGAAACTGAGCCCACTCATGAGTGAAATTTACGTCCTTTGATGGCGCAAGAAAGAAAATGAAACATACGAAAAGCTTTTCTAGGACTTTTGTTCGATCTGAAAGGTGGGGCCAAAAGATAGTATGGCCCCACCTTTCAGCACCAAAGGGGGGGGGGCCATGGCCCCCGTGCCCCCCCCCCCCCTGCGACCGCCAGTGTCAACATTTATCATTTGCGCTAAAAACCCTCCTCTCAATCAGCCTTTCGCGTTGAAAGCCTACAACCGAGAGGTGAATCTTTTATGCTGTTCCATATGTTACAGCGATAAACATGAGTCTGATGCCGTTATATCCGGCGGAAGCATGACAAAGCGTCATAAATAATGGGCAACATGTTCATCATTGCCCCCCCCCCCCCCTGAGATCTAACAATGCTTCGTCAGTCTGAGCCCGATATAAGGAAATGGGTAGAAATTGAAATCAGAAAAATAAAATAAAATACTCAAAGTTAAAACGTAAGTTCCTGTAAATTTTAAAGGTGGATTGAACTGGGCTTAAACTGCCAAATAAATACTGCCAGCCTCGTCCCTTGTGAAAAGTCAGATAAAGGCAAACATGGAACGACACCCAGTTGTTCAAACTGATTGGCTGAGTAAGTGGGTCCTATATGATGTCCCACCTCAGACCTTCTGACCTTGAGGTGGGACACCTGCTCAACGGGAAAGTCGTGGGCAGAAAGCGTTGCACCCAGTGATCCCAAACACCAAACGGAGCGTGTAATAGGTGGGGATAAGTACATTTCAGCATCGCGCCCGAACACCGTGAAATAGGAGGGAGACGGAAAACGGGAGACGAGAGTGGAGAGAAAAGAAGAGAGGTTAGACGGGGACAGGAGACAGAGCAGGAGACGAGTTAGTCGAGGAAAAGACGGTGAACCGAGACGGAATATCTGAGAGGAACGGTGGCTCGTGGAGAAACAGCGAGAGCAAAGTCCGGAGGCGAGCGATGAGGGTGGATCGAGGAATACAAGATGTTGGCTATGAATTTGGAATCAGGATGTTTTGAATTTAAACTATGATTTTTTATAAGACATTCCACAAAATACTAATTCACAACAATCAACAACGAAGGGATAAATGGTAACCTACAATGATGAACAATCATGCAAATGTAGACTGGGAAGACGCCAAATCGTTATCGTGCTGAGGAACCACATTGCTGCCGAAAAGAAGCATAAGAGCAAACGAGTGGAGACGAGCAAAAGATGGCAAATTAAATGAAGAGCCTTAGAACGATTGCATGAGTTGAAATAAATGTGAAAAGCAAATGTAGAGGAAGAGGGATATCGTGACAAATGGCAGTTTGGGAAACAGCTTTACCACGGAAGGTTATGTGCACGAGGCGATCATTAGGGACTGCTGGCTCGCACGCAACTGGTACTGATTCCCAGTACACAGCTGGCGTGTCACGGTGTCAGTTGACGACACATGCCAGCCGCCACTCCGTCATCGCACGACGTTCGTACCCTCCGGCGGCCGCATCACCAGTCGTTACTCTAACGGGGCCTCACGTACCGTGACCTGTGACACGACCCGCGGGCTATGCAGCCGGCCGCGTAACGACCACGCCGTACGGCAGACGGTGCCGGGTGCGGCCTGCCGTCACCTCGTAACGACGCTGTGCCGTTGCAGCGAGCCAACAGAACGGAAAGGGAGGAACTGTATGGACGGAGCCGCGAGTAAACGGCCGGACCCAGCGGGAGTTTCCACTGGCAGAGCAGAGACCACTGAGGGCTTTTGTTCTGCGCCAACGACCCAGAGAAAAGGACGGGGCCCTGCGTTTGCAGAGCGCAACCATTGTGCGACACACAATCGACGGGCCTTGTAAAATAGACCAGCTGTGAACATATCCTACATCCTCTGAAAAGTAAAACAAATCCCCAAGAGCTTGGCTTCTGGCCTAACGCATTCAGCTCAGACTTTCCATGTGCACCCTCAAAGACAAAACAGTTACCCCCTCTCAAATAACTATATAACCATTGACCCATTGACTAACCCGATATAGATGATACCCAGTAATCACTCACCTTCAGTCCGTGTCGCTGTGCGTCCGATCCGGGCACCACGTGACTCACGAACAGACCGGTGCCGTGTTCACGGCCCCCGCGCACGCTGAACCCCAGCGAGCCGTCCCTGCGCCGCGGCAGCTGAACCGTCCGGGTACCGTACACCACCATTGTGACACGACTGGGTACACGGAGGTTGGAGCACTCTCGGAACTAAAGCGGTCACACACGAGGGAAACGGTGGGTGGATCGCAGCCGCGTCAGAAGCTATCCAGAATGAGTCTGACAATGATTCTGAGAATCATGGCTGATTTTGATCACTATTCACGGCTGTCTTCGTCTATCGACTCAGAACTCTTCGGATGTAGCTTAGAGCTCATTCACTTCTCGTTCGCACTGGCCAGTCAGCCTTCTCTGGCACTCCTGACCCGTGCCGTCAGAGATAGCTCCAGGACGTCGGCGTCACGCGGGTCGTCCACCAGCGTCACATAGCGTCACACGGGGTCACGGTACGTCACGGCGGCGTGACGTGACGCTCGCGGACCACCGTGACGCGGTGTGACGGCTCGGCTGGCGTGACAGGCTGGATGGCGGCGAGACTCTCGACTCTGAAACGCACGGGGAAGGGCGGGATTGAAATAGCGGCTTTAGGGCAATGGAGGGAGGATGACCATTCAGCAACACTATGGTGGAAACTGTGAATCGGTGTTTTTAAAGCACTCCATATACGTGCACATATTTTTACTTGTATATTTGCATACCTAATCGTCTTGATTGTTTCATGTTTGCTGCAACACAAACAATAGCAAAAAAAACAGCAGAAATTGCATACCTACCAATTTATTCATTAGTCTACATAGGTAAGCACACACTGCATATCCATTAATTGCAAATAGATTTCCTAATGGGGAAAAATAAAGCGCAATACATAAATGTTGTCTCTAACCAACACGGGGACATAGGTATGCGGTGAATGGTGAGGTTACTGGCAGACATGCAATCGAAGAACGCACAACCGTGACAATTGTCACTCGTAAGGCGACTTTCACTATTATACGTGACGAGAATAGTCTTGTGGCATTTTCTCTTCCATGAGCAGTTGTTGAAACGTCAAACTTTCTGATGAATATCACGGTAGCCAAACTAACTGATCTAGTTAGTTTCTGTAATTATAGCTGCACATGTGAGGTAAGAACAGAACAACATCGATTGCACCCGTTCCCATTTTTGTTTCACCGCTGTAACATATCAATGCAGCAAGCTAGAAATGCAGCTCGATTGTTTGTGCAAAGAGCATAGATGCTGCATAGTGCATAGACATCTATTGCATGTGTTGCAAACATACACAGTACTATCAAAAACGAATTGTTTCGTCCGCTCCCATGAGCTAACACCAGCATGCGTAATTCTTCCAGTCTGTAATGTAACTATGGGTATCGCTCCGGCGCCTGCCGCAGCGCGGTCCGTACAATGAACGCTCTGCGATCCGCGCAGGGCTCGCTCCGGTGCGCACACAGCACAATAGCCAGACACCGGATCGGGCGGCCCTCGGCGGCCGGAAGTGGCGCCGCTGCGGCGACCGGCGCACACCTGGATGACCCCGCCCTGTACCCCCCCCCCCCCTCCCTAGTGTATTACTGGCCCAGGACCGCGGGGCACCGGAAACGGCCATCAAATCCGCACAGTTCCCGACCCAGAGAGTGGGATGTGCGGTGACCAGGCAGGATAGACCGGATCTGCCCATAATCGCTCGGCACCGGGGGAGGGTAGGGTATAGGGCATCGTGAGGACCACGAGGTCACTTACTATGTTCGACAGGACAGCCGGGCTGCTAGCATATATGTGCGAGTAGACCGTCTCGTCCTTGGTATAACGTTTCCATCGGCTGCAACAGCCCTTCAAAAGACCTTGGTGGGTTTAATGGTACCGTAAAGTGGGGCTATTTGAAACGGATTTTACTGTTTTGGCCTCTTCCTTCAAAACGGTTGATATTTCCTATAGCATGTAAATTGCAAAAACGTAGTTCTCTGTAACCGCTTTCAGATAGTTCAATTTTGGTTCAGCTAGTAACCATAAATAAAGTTATTTTTATACTTGAAGCCTGTCTCAAATAGCCCCATAGTGTGGGGCTATTTGAGACAGTTTTGGTTGCAAGGAAATTGAAGAAAATTGGTCAAGCTAGGGATAATTCTTTTAAAGCCATGCAATTGGAAATTAAATTTTGATGCTTCTAGCAAAAAGTATTTCTTTCAACTACAGTTATACAACCCTTATAATCAAACTTTTCGTTTTTCGTTGGACATAGCATTTCGTTCTGCAAAAAAAAAAATGCATTACTCAATGCTAGGGCTGTCATAATAATGATGGATCTTAAGCTTTAAAAAGCACAGGATGATTATCTATGACTATTTCTTAGTCAACGACAGTGAAATTTTCAAATAAAGTTGTTGTGTATTTCTGGCGGCGTAAAACATATAGCCCCTTAGGACCACTTTTGAGGGCCCTCACGATGACGTTTGGTGTCTACCGCAGGCTCGAAGGGACTACTGATTCGTTCAGGCGATTCACGTGCCCATTTATGTCACTTATAGTGCAGGGGGCATCTTACCCAACGCCAGGGGGCGTCTTTCCCACCCTGTGGGGTAAGATGCCCCCTTTCACTTCTTCAGAAAAATGCTTAATAGCAAAAAAAGTTATCATATTTCAGGCACGAAAGTGTGATATTTTTGGAGAAAAATGATGTCGGCTTCCGTTGAAACTCCAAGTTTTTGCTTTCCGATCGTCATTTTCGAATAATGTATGACATAGTAAACCCCTGGGCATCTTTTCCCACTCTCCCCTATTTCTCATTTAATGCCAAATTTCTTTCAAAACTTTTCAAAATTTTCCAAAAACTCTATCCATAATTCATTGTTAAATTCCACATCAGCCTGAGCAAAAATTGATCCAAAATATCAAACGGTTTTAATTTTACAGCAATTTTACGAAGCCACTTCCGTACTGTCTCAAATAGCCCCACTGTCTCAAATAGCCCCACTTTACGGTAATTGCTCATAGAAGGATAAAAGGTGTCAGGCTGAGTGTTCAGGGTTCACTGGAGGCAAATATCTATATGAAATGACGTAATGCAGCGCACATAACGGTATCCAGGTAGCTTTTCGGCGCTTGAGGCTTGGACAATGTCGCCGTCTATTTTTAGCGAATCTGGAACACTGAAAATGTAGCTATCGATTGCTTGCAGTCAGCTGCAATTGAACTCACGACATACGCTTCCAGCTATAATAACATGTAACTTTAAGCGTAAGTACTATTTGGTGCATAGTTGAGGACACCTAAATTATATATGTGCCCAGCAAGTCTAAAATGGCTTCCTTCAGTCCACGTGTGCCTTTCTCCAGCCTCGATACATCTCTGCCAAGCGTCGGCATGTCAAACTTCGACACTTTTCCCTCCAGTCTCAGTGAACTAAGGCGACAGACGGCAAGAATTTCTGGACTAATGTATGAGTGTGGCCAGTACCCAAGCAAAGTCGCAGAGGCGAAGGACCCATAAAGGAGAAAATAAGAGCTCGCTCGAGCAACTCTTTTATATTGAGCCATGAAGCTGGGAGTTGGGACCACGGAGCCGCACCAGCTAGCTCATTCGAGGCGCCGTGCCCGCCATGCCAAATTCACGGTGCCATGGCGAGGCCTCGAGACGAGAGCTCAACCGAGCCAACGCGCCGTAGCGGAGGCAGCTCAATCGTGGCCGAGGGCACACGAACCGCTCAGTGGCCCACGCACGACAGACTCGCCTGCTGAACGGGTTTACCGGCCACCGTGAGCTGATGTTCCGCCCTGGGGCACGATCAGGTCGGATGATTAGCGGTTCGATCATCACTTGCAGAGGAGATAGAGTGGGGATGATCCGAGAGCAAAGGAGAGAATGGGGTCATGTAAAGACTGGCCCACCGATTTAGGAGTGTTAGTGTGTAAACAGTGGGCGACTGTAGTGGAAACGACTCTCTCTCCCTCTCTCCCCCTCTCTCTCTCTCTCTCTCTCTCTCTCTCTCTCTCTCTCTCTCTCTCTCTCTCTCTCTCTCTCTCTCTCCCTTTCTCCATTCGTCCTCCATCATATCCTACTGTCTTTCACCTCACATCCCTCCTTTTTCTCTCGTCTCCTCTCTCCTCGATCTTTTCTGTCCTGTCTCCATCTCCTCCTATCCCCTGCTACCTTCATTTCCGTTCCCATAATCCCACTCCTTTTCCACACCCGTCCGCACTCATTCATCACACCATTCGCATCCATCCAAGAGCCGTGCATTCTGCGCTCGCACAAATCGTCGCGTGGCCAGCAGGCGTCTATCTAGGTCAGCCTTGACGCATAGTCGCGGCAAATCGTCGCCGCCCGGCCTCCTCCTCCTCCCCCTTCCTCCTGGACTCCCCTCCCAAGCACCATCCTCGACCCATTGCTATGACCGTTGTCTATTGGACGGTGATGTAAGAAGGGTGCTTTCCAGTGGTCGCTAGGGCATCATGATGGCGTAGGGATAGCGATTGACGAATTGTGAGCGGTGATCGGCCTGCAGGGCTTGAACTGAAGACGACAATGGGACAGCGGGCTGAAGCTGGCAGCTGGGCTGCGAAAGTGACTAAAATTGTGGGCTAAAGCAAGCTGGTACAGCGGGCTGCGAGTTAGCGGCCGGCGGATAGCAGCCGGTCGTTCAACGGTCGGTCAGGACAGTGTCTGTGCTCCCGGATTGACCCAGATGGCAGAGCGGCCAGCGTGGCCGGCGCCGTGGTGTGCCGACCCGACTGTAATGGTGCCATTACCCGCCCGATGGCCCGCAGCGACGGTGACCGATTCACCGACGACGCCGCAGCGACAAAATCGACACCGACGGTCCGCGCCGGTCAGCAGCCACGCACCGCGCGACGATTTATTCCGCGCGCGTCACTGGGGAAACGTTACGATTTTCCGCTCGGCTGAGTACGCTCCAGAAAATCTGCGCTCGGTTGTCCTTGATCTAGATGTGTTTGTGTCAATGAGCGTTGGCAGATGTGATGTTTTCTGATGGTTCTTTGACTCGCTCGATGAGCTTGAGAACCCGTCAAACTGTCAAGAGGATGCGCAATCAGCCACGCCGTTGTGAGAACCGCTGAAAATAGATTGAAGTTGTATACGAGAGAACGGCTGCATAATTGCATGATGTTTCGTCAGGACACTCGACCGACATCCACTTGAAAAGCTGTCTCCCTGTCTGAAGCATGTGACGCACTTCTTATTACTTTTACATATTTGCACCGAGTCTGATATAAGTCAGCTACAGCATGCTTTGGTCTTGCAATTCTCCACTCTGAGGCGGGTACCGATTGAAGTGATGTTTTGACCTTCACGTAGGTAAATTAATTTAATGAGCGAGTCGATCAACCAAAGTTTTGACAGAAGTTTGCGCTACGACAAACTGCGACAGACTGAACGTCGGGCAGATGGTTAGTGTGTTTTTCTTGTCAGTTCACTCAGTTATTATGTGTGTTTCGCGATTGGCAGCTGTCGCCGGAGTTAGTTTTTTAGCCGCTGGGCTGCCTACATGCCGATCGACCAGCGAATAGCACAAATATGTTACAACAATCCTCACCTGTTGGCTGTTAGCCCGCACAGCGCGGCAGGGATGACCTCCGTCCTCACCCCTCACTCAACTCCTCATTCCTCGTCCTCAACTCATCCGTCCATCGCACGGAGCCGGCGACTCTTTCCGTCCTTCCCTAGTTTTCTCTCAACAAAACGCTGCCCGCTCTCCACTGCGTCTCACATCACACGAGCTCACCCAAGCTCACCTCACACGTTCACCTTCAGATATCCCTGTATCTCATCCACTTCTGTCTGCTCGGTCACCGTCTGCCTCCCCTCCGCTCCCGAGGTAACAACTCCCTCACAGGTATCGTTTCAGCACAGCTCCTCTACCACCGTATCCGGCCTCTCCTCGCACAGGATACCGCTCACTGTCTCGGCGGCTCAGGCCCACGTGAACCAGCGTCCCTCACCGGCGAGCCACACTCACTGGCGGCGGAGCACGGCGGACCGCAGCGGGCCCGTCGCCTGCCGTTCCGGCGCTGGTGCTCCGTTCAGGGTCCGTTCCGCCCAGCGAACCCACCGGGTGCCGACACCTGTCACCCCCCCCCCCCTCCCCACCGGGCGTGCTCCCCTCTCTCCCCGGCTCCCAGGCCCGACCGGAAGCGGGCCGGACGAGGGACAGGGCGGGACCCCACATACCGGCAGTCGGGACCGCCCTCGTGGCGAGGGCGCCGCCCGGCATAAACCTCATACAGAGCGGGGCAGTGCGTAGTTCACCGGGTCGGTCAGGAACCAAACTGCTAGTGTATAGCACAGCGAAGTGCTTGAAAGAACGTAGTTGCGTACGAGTTAGTACGTCGATAGGTAGGTTTAATATCACCGAATTTCAATAACCTCAGCGACGCTACAGATCCTATGCAAATTACAATTTATATTTACACAGTTGATCTGCTGGCTTAGGATTACCGATTGCCTAAGTTTACTCATTTGCCGAAACTCAAACTTCTCGATCTGTCTCCGCGTACGGTGTAACCGACCACTGAGCTGACGAGCGGAGGATATTCGGTCTCCCTTCCAGGCGACTACTACGTGCTTTTGGGTCTGCTCAGTTACTCGACCCGGGATCGCTCTTTTCAGTACGGTTGGCCACAACCGTTCGGCTTTGGAAACGCGTGCCCGTTTCTGAGCTCGTGTAGTTATCGGAGAGCGGGCTCCGTCCAGCTGTAAGGCTCGTACGATATGGTACGACCCATAATACGGTAACGGTCGGACGTGCCTTCTAGTCTTCTCAGTCCTGAGTTTCAAACTCGGGCAGTTCAAGATGGCTGCCTTCAGCCGCGGTAAATTGATGGAGCATGGGCTGTCGGATCCGTTCCGTGGAACTTCACTCGTGTAAGACATAATCGGCGACAATGCTGAGTTCAGGACACTGGGGGCTGTCATTACCCCGACAGTGCATTGGTCGTTATGCCTTCGCCCGTCCAGTCGATTAGCGTTTGAGTTAGCAGTGTTAGAGTTCTTAGAATGATGCAGCCCCGTGAAACATTCGCGCATAAATCAAATACGAGCGGCGTAATCTAGCAAATTTATGTCAAATAAAATTGAGTTCAGCGGATAGGGCAGCAAATTGAGCAAACCACGTAGGAAAAATGAGGTGAAATAGTACGGTCGTATTCAGGGTAATCACCAATTTCTGCCGGCCTAGTTCACAGTCATCGATTTACGACGGAAGATAGATGTCATTGAAACATTTCGGCCACGAGATAGGTATGAGCTATGACCGGCACGGAAAGGCGACTTACACAAATAAGAACATTGTTTATAGTTGAACGGAGGTTCGTTGTTTTAAGAAAGACAAGCAATGTTAGGTTGCAGCATTACTATATTGTTTATGCTTTCATCTTGGGCACAAAACATGGGAGACATTGGTGATGGTTTCGGCGCATCAGGTGACGCATCCAACATTTTGTAGTTGCTACTTGCTGATCCACAGTTTGTGGCCCTTATTGATGTCAACCATGGTATCAAATGAAACTGGAGTGAAATACATCATACAAGAATAGCACATCAGCTGTGGACACGCCTGTCACGTTCAGTTTCCTTCCTCATCGAGCTATCACGACATACACCAGACACAAAACACAAACAAGGGCGTCCGCAGCGACACCTATACAAATATTGTCCACAAAGTGCTGCCACCTGTAGCCGACTACTCGTCCGACTCGGGCACCTTCTTCACTTCGGTCAGTCCACCATACTCAACACTTCGAGACGGATCTGTCGGATAGAACTCCTGACACTTTGTCATGAGCCGCTTCAGGCCCTGGATGAACTTACGCTGCGTCTCGTCGTTCATCACGTGTGCCACGTGCTTGGAGAAGATCTTCTCTCGGCCGGTTCGGGCGTGGATACCGACCATGGTCACTCCGATCGGCCACGCGGCGTTACCGATGGCCATCTGAAGGTATGTGTCGTTAGCCTGAGACGGAGAGAAGCAAGGGGAGGGAAGGTCAGCTTGGAGCCAATCCAGCAATACAAAACAGGCCATCAGTTACACTTACAAGTTATACCTACCCAGATCTTTTCACTATGAGGATGCGTGAACGTCCACATAGTTATACCGTTTCGGTGCAAAATAGACATTTTCAGGTGACCAGAAAATACTTGCATATCATGAAGACAAAAAAAAACGTAATTTACCCGCTCAGCCTGGCTCAATGACACATAACATCCGACTAGTAAACATACATTACAATCTCTCAGTATTACGATCCAATGCTGGAATTGAGCACATTCCTTACCTTGATATAGTTTCTGTCCAGCATGAACTGGGCGATCTCGACCAGCGACTCTCTGATGTCCTCAGGAAGTTGTCCATTTTTGAGCTGTCTGAACAGCGGCTTCAGGTACTGCTGGGTCTGTTTATACGTGGCCAGCGCCATTTTGTTTTTGATGGCCTCTCGCTCGGCACGGGGCAGGTTGTGAATGCTGTCTCCCCACTCGAGTAGCAGGCACTGTAAACGATACAAAGACACGTGTTTTGTTGGTACGATGGGATAACATGGTTGCATTAGACACAAATTAGGCGATGTAGCAAATTAGCAATTATTGGTAGAACAAAACACATATGTGTGTTGCATAATAAGCAATTTACAATAAAGCCAACATAATCGTAGCATGAGGACAAAATAATACCCAAAATGAAATTGAAAAAGTACGAATGGCAAGCATGTAGTAATCATTGACCTATAATAAATAATATTTATTATATGTCAATGGTACTGGTAGTAATGTAGTCACACAATCTACACTCATCAGTCCTCAGTGCTTACCGCTTTTAAAGGTAGTGTGCCAGCTTTCTTGGACCATATGGAGTTAATGACCCGGATAAGGAGAACCGGATTTTTAGAACTTATCCATACCTTCAAAACCTATGGAAACGTCTTAAATTCTTCAAATTTTGAGTACCCCAGTGCGAAATTCGCCCCGACGGGTTGTCGGCCGTACCCCAACCACATTTCACACCACTATGAACAATAAATGCACACACTGAAATCGCTATTACCGATATGCTCATCCAATCAAGTTTCGATAAACCCGTTCATCATCATCTCCTGCGGTTTCGAACACGCCTGTTAGGTGGCTTCTGATGCTCGTCGAGGTCGGAATTTCCAAATACGCGTGGTGCGTCGGGCCGCGCGCTCTGACTTCGGCCAAGAAAAATGCGTCAGCTGATCATTGTCATTTCTGCCACTTGCGTGTGGTGTAATGGGGTCATAACTTAAGAGACGGCTGTTTCATATCAATTATTTTACATAAAATCATATTTCAAACCACAAATTAATGTTCGACAGCCAAATTTAAGAAACAATACCAATACAGGCTTACAGTTTAAGGCTCGACATTGTGTTGTCTACGATTAGACAGCTGATAACTCATTCCCGTACGTCGTATGGTCGTAACACTATAATGACCTTTGCTTATTGTCACAAGTGCGCCGCATTCGCGATTGTTGCCTGACGCCTGTTTGCAGGTGAGCCCACTACAGTTGTTATACATATCTAAAAACCGATAAACTTTTAGGCGAAAAAGGCACTATTCCAGGCCCATTTTTGATTTTTTTGCGATATTAGGTAAAAACAGAAGCTTCTTATCCTAGGAAAAATAAAACGGGAAATCTTTCAAAGGTGGCACACTACCTTTAAAGGGACTATCCCACCTTCTAAAATGTTGTTAAAGCCAGTTAAATTGTGCCCGACTTTATAGATTGGATGACCAGGAACACGGTTCTAGCATTTATTTTTCATTAAACATCTTAGGCTTTCCATATTCCAAACACAAACTTTCAAATATGTGACGTCACAGCCCCAAATTACCTCCTTCCCCAGGCCACATTACTGTCATAAAGCTGATTATTTTTACTCTGTAGGCACCACAACAAAGTTCAGACCAAGTTTTAAGCGATTTTTCAACGAACAAACCCATTTAAATCAGAATGACTAAACGAGGTGACGTCACACTAACGGTCGCTCCATGTTGAAGATAGGGCCTTGTACAAGGCCCATTTTCAAATGAAGGGAACGAATTTCTTCAACACCAAGAGGCCGCGGGGGTTGCAACCTAGATAGATAGTGGTTTCTGAACCTCGCCGCAAACTTGGCTATCTCAACTCAAATCCCATGTTAAAGGTGGGATAGTCCCTTTAAGACTGACACGATCATTCTAAGATCCAACGTCATGACATTTGTTTCATGTTCAATTCAACACTAGCCAAGATCAATCCATGTCTCTAATAACGTCCACCCCACGCCACGAAAGTGCCCTCATCATCGTCATCTCACCTTATACAGTTTGATGAGCAGCTGGGTATCAAACGCCGCATCTCCGGAGCCGAGCCGGCCGGCCGCTTCCGACTGTATCTCGGCCATGGTCAGACGGGGCTCGTCCTCGGCGGCCGCGGGTCGCTCAGCGTCGCCGTCAGAGCCAGAGCCGGAGCCACTCTGCTGCAGGTACTCGGCCAGGTAGGCGGCGTCCACCTGATCCATGGCCGCCTGGAAGTCGTTCCTCATACCCTAGAGGGGGGGGGGGGAAGGGTCGGTCAGTCAGTGTAGTGAGTGGTGACGGAGGGGTGAGGAAGTGTTGCGAGGAGTCAGGGGTGATTGGGATTCGATACATTAGATTCTGTATTAAATGTCTATGGCGAAATTTGTTCGGTCGTGTGGGTAGTAACTAAGTGGGAAAATACAAGGGTCAAGGGTCGTTATGACTTATGAGGCAGAAAGGCGCCTGGAGACTGGTCCCAGAAAGAGGGGTCGGTAAGACATCGGATATGGGTACAGCCAAATTCGAAACGGCTGGAATTAGGACATCTACGGTACGCGAGACGAAAAGTACGGAACATCGTGGATTCACACACCATTCCTACCAACCACTATAGATAAATAAACCTTCCACAAACACAGCACACCGTTCGACATAGGTACCACACACCTTCCTTTCTGCAAAAACCGATCACGAACCGATCATCACAGCCAATCACCCATCCCTTTCTCGCCTATCGAGCACGTGCCACTCACCCGGTTAACCTCCGGCTCCAGGATCTCCAGTCGGCGCAGGCGGCGGAACGCCTCCAGCTCCGTCTCACCGAACAGCAGGATCGGCTCAAGACGGTCGCGCAGGCGGCGCACCACCTCTGAGCGCGACAGCTCCGCACCGCCGGTCTGCGCGTGGTCGGCGTCGGCCACGCTCTGAGGCACTGCGCGGCGCGGAATGGCGCCCTCCTCCACCAGACCGCACCTCTGACGGTACTCTTCGGCGTCCCGCGCCGCCAGGTCACCTCGCTTGAAGTACTTCTTGTCAGGTGCCTGAGAAATGGCATGTCGCAGGTAGTGGTTAGAAATGCCTTATCCAGGCAAATGCATCAGGGACTGGACAATAAACAGACGTGAGGAACACCCATGCATTGGTAATTCAACTGGCACGCTAACTGGTGGTAAAAATCCTCTTGGATTGCAAGCCTTGAAGTAATAATAGCCAGTCGGTCCTCTGTGGAAGAGCGTGTGACGAAAGTATGCATCCGGTTACAAAAATGTGGGGTGTTACCAGGGCTGCGGAGTAGATGGATTTTCGGTGACTCCGACTCCGGCTTTCAAAAACCAGCTCCGACTCAGACTCCGACTCCGGGCAGAATTGTCGACTCCGACCGACTCCAACTCCCGACTCCAACTCCACAGACCTAGCAGGGCTGCGGAGTCGACAGATTTTCGGTGACTCCGACTCTGACTCCGGCTCGGGTTTCTATAATCGACTCCGACTCCGACTCCGGTCACAACTGTCGACCCCGAACGACTCCGACTCCGCAGCCCTGGGTGTTACAAAATCTCGGGTTCAAGGCATGATAGGCGCTCAATGTTTATGAACCTCCCGACAGGCGTGGATGTGATTAGGCGGCAGTCAGCCGAAGAAGGTGAGGGGGAGCGGTCATGTGCAGCTATATGCGTAGGTATTTCAAACTTCAGACTCTAAATTCTACCATAGACCGGGAATAATTGCGCAAGCAGAGGGTAGAGGGCAGGTCATCTTCACAATCTCTGCTTAGCAGGGTATCTGTCCTTTTTTAATCCCTATATTCAATAGGATTGGACTTAATTTAAAATAGGTACGTAAAAATTGACAGTGACAATTGCCAGTCCAGCAGCATGACAGCATTATCAAGCCAGACCAGTCAGGAATGGGGTAAATCTGTCAGACTGGTTATTTGTACCAGAGTATGCCAACCATTCTGGAACTGTTTATCACCTTGACCTTGACCTGGCAAAAAGTGATTCATTAAATTTGGAACACACAACTTTGGCTTACGCTTACCCTTGCGAAAAATGAAAAACAGCACCTCAATAGCAACACAGTTCATCTTCATGCAACAGTATGCATAGAATCTGTAAAAATTCATAGAAAATCCGCGCCTCACATCATTTTCCGCTGATTAAATGCTGGGGACTCTGCAAAGACAAACTTCCTTGCTACACTATATATGTGCTGTATGTACATCATATTGAATTCAGATATAGTGTCTGTCTGAATGGTAATTAAATTCAGTTGAAAATAAAATCCAGGCTGAAGATCTCCAGTCCCTCCAGTACAAATGGTCATGCATTGGGATTGGGGTAGGTACCTCCTACTTACCAACACATTTTTCTCAGCTAGTTGTCTTTTCTTTCTTTCTATTTCTGCTTTTAATATGTCCATCCTCTTCAACTGTATTTATGTAGCCACCAAAATGTTAACAAAGCGCGGGGATCCTCTCGCGACTGAGCAAAATGCAGATTACTACTTATTTACATCTTATCATGTTTCACAATAGGAGATAAATTGTGTTCGGAAGAGGCCCCCGCTCAGCGATATCTCGCAGCAGTGGTAAAAAATGACGAATCAACGACAGAGTTGAGTGAAAGTGCTTCTACAGCAGCAGCTGTTTCTGCTTTTGAACGGTATTGAATAAGTTTGATGCTTTCTTTGTATTTGTTGTTCGCTGCTTTATTGATGACGTCATAAACTGCGTAAGATTGACCAATGTATTGTCGTAGATATTTGCAAAATTTGGAATTTTCTACCCCCAATTATCCTTTTTGAAATATTTCAAATACAATTTTGCTGTTTTTTGATTTAGTGAAACCTTTTGTGAAAATTAAATCTTCACCGAATACAAATTACGAGCTTATGACGTCATTTTTCGACACTTTTGTCAGAGGCGCCAGGAGTAATATGATTTAACGTGATTGAACGCATGCATATTTACGTCTGGACAACGAGTTGCGGGGAAAAGTGCTGATTTTGTTGCAGTTTTAGGAGCCGGTGATTAGGCTGGATTTTTGGGTTACTTTTTCGTTCTGATACATGTATTTCATAGTGTTTGGCTTTTGAATATTTTAGTTCTTTCAGATAAATATTACTTGCCTTACAACTTTTGTAAAAACGTTTCATTTTTTTATAAGCCGACCTTCAGAGTCCTAAAAATACATCAGCACTACAATCATTGTAAACAAGCAAATGGAGGACCACTTGGCTCTGTTCCAAGGCGCTTTTTAAGTTTATCTGGTGGTTTCCGTACTCTTGTACGTCGTTTTGTTGGATGTTTTGGATCCATTAAGATTGACTTATATCATATTTAAGAAGCATGTGACTGAAAACAATCCGAAGTTTCCAGGAGGCTGACAGAGGTCCTAAGAATCTTGGGTTCTGACTCCTGAGCAATATCAATATCAAGTTGAACTTGAAGTTATTAAATTTTGGTTGATAAACGCAAGTTGATCGAGCTCATATATCAGCAAAAAAAAGAGTAAAATTAAAAGAGCTTATTGGCCGAAAACAAGCTATAATATTGCAGATCCTGGAGCAATACTGAAGAGCACGCTGAGCAGGATCATGCCAGAAAATGTTGACTGATGAGTGCATATTGATGTATTGGTATGAATATTGAATGATAACTTACAACAGCAAGATAAATTAGTGCTATCAAGTTAAAAATCTAGAATGAATGGACTTTGGAAGCTTTACTATTCTTCGATGCTGTGCAGATTGTAATGTGCATCCTACTCAGTGTCTGGCAAATGAAACATGCGATCATTTCATTGCTACTGCAACTGGAGGAGAAAGCTTGGATCACCAAATCCACTTAATGCTGATTTTGATGTTAATCATTACCTACTGTATTTCTTGAAAAAAGATTGTTATAAAATTGTCAATGTGACAATCCATGCAACGATGTGATCATATGATGTGTTCATAGTCATTCATGATAGTGATTCATGATTGTTGGTCCAATATACAATGGCAAAGCTCTCAGTCTCAGCGTTTCTTCCTGTGGATGGCCAGCAGTGACTCACAGCTTAGAAGCATTAGTTTTCTTCACAGGGCTGGGATAAAAAGTACTGAGGGTATTCTTCCACCAAGGAACTCTACTTTGAGTTTTGACATGGTATGAGATGTAGGCACAAGTAGGTAGGTGCTTAGTTCCTATAGTCAGCAGTTGTGTAGGTTTAGTCGGGTTAGCTTAGATTAGGTTATGCTAGTTTTTTAATTTGCCAAGTGTCCATAAAAATGTGACCTGAGCAATGAGCATACCTGAATAACCTGACAGCTGACCTAACCTCAATCATCACACATATTTGCAGCCTTACCCAAGACCTGCATAGCAGAAGCACCCAGTTATAGGTAGGTACTCACCCTAACTCAATCTTACCTGCTAACCTTCAACTTGCCTATAGTTAGCTCACCTTGCCAAGCTGCATCCAGGGAAACAGTCAACTGAGGAACTGGCTCATTGCGTGGCTGGTGTGAGTCTGTGCATTTAAAGTGTTTCTTCTCTGAAGCTGCTCTGCACTGCTGTATGTCATGTTAGATGCTCAGAAAATGTGGGAAATGATTACTAAGCTACTTTAGTGCTTTGTTAATGCTCGAGACATGAACAAGTACAGATCCTGCAGGGTACAGCTATGAGTTAGGTGCTAGGTGAGTATGTTATGTGAATGTGCTGTTCCCTGTTTGACCATAGTAAGTATACAAACAAGCAAAGGGTCACAGTTATATTCAATCTCCACATAAACAAACATACAACAAAAACGGCCATATAGCCTCACTCCGAACACACCACAAATAGCTTAAGCCTTTGTAGGCACAAAAATGCTTTGATTTACAGGACAGGTATACAATATAACCTCTGTCCTTGGGGATCTTGCTGCCAAGTTGAGGTACGATGACTGAACTTCAGGATTGATCAACCTTTTCTTCTTAGCCACTGCTTATATACGAGAAAGACCAAATGCTTGTTTGTAAACTGCCTTGAAAATTTAATGATCCACCTTCAATTCTGACATGAAGGCACAAATAAAATAGTTCCCACTCCTTTTGGAATACACAAAGCAAAATATTTAATAACTTCTAGTGAATGGACAAGAGCAATTAACATAGCTTCTCCTCAAGTTAACTTCTGGCACTGATGAATAACACTGGCGCTTATTCGCTTCATAGTTCATATTTTGTAACAAACGCGCAGAAACTGCAATATAACAGCACTATATGCTTCTTGACAAAATGCAAAAGTAGTAAAAATTTAGCCCTGATGGCATTCATTCTTGGTGGAAACGTAATTAGAAAATATTTTGTAGTAACTATTAAATTCCGGCCGAAAACAGTGCACGGTTTCAAAAAGAATCATTCCAATGGCGGTCCATTCTTGCGGTCCTGAAATCGCCACTATTTCCGGCCTCTCCAACGCAACTCGTTGTCCAGACGTAAATATGCTGAACGCATGTTCCACGGTCAAGAAACGGAATAAATTACTTTATTTTGGTGGAGATATCGAGGAATTGATCAAAAGGTAGGGTGTTATGCGTAGATAATTGCATTATTCAGCTTTTTGTGGCACTATATGATGACGTGTTTTGGTTTGTTGCTGTGTGCCTTTCTGCAATCCTTTATGGCTTATGAGGCACCCACATCAAGTTGAAGTGCCATGCCATGCTGATGCAGCTCGAGCTATTACCTACATTCACTGGTATTATTACAGGAAGAGTCTGATCAGTAATGTCATTATAAAAGCCATACCACATGATACATTTTGACCTCCTGAGCTCATATCTGATAATTATTCATGGCGCAACCAAGTGCAATACACACGTGTAACATTTGTTGTCACCAACAGACGCCCGGCACTCCTCCCGACGCCATCACCGTCTCTTTCGGTAATTTTACCCATTCACTCAATATAACTTGCTTTTACAATTACCTAGGGAATCTGAAGGCTCATCTTAACTGAGACCGCGAACTGTGAAGTGACAGTTGCACGATCAACATGTGACCAGTTTTTTATGAGTACACACTTGGCCTGTGGCAAGTCTGGGTATTCTCTTAGCAGATGTCGCCGTTGCTGCCTTATCTAGTTAGGTAGGTGGTAGGTTGTAGGTTGTAGGTGTAGGATGAAGGTAGGGTCCCGACTGGAAGAAATGCCTCCACTACGCTGAAGTTCTCGGCGGAGGTCATGCGCCGAAATTTTGGCGCAAGGGTTTATGCGCCGAAATTATTTTACCAAGCCATGCTTCATGCGCAGAAAATTTTCAAGGCTTACTGATGGCTGCAGGCTGTAGCCTCGCACTTTTCGTCGAGGGGGGGGGGGCTGGCATGTGTGTGTGGCTGTCTTCCAGTGACTACTGTCTACAGACCAGTCCCACGCACAAGGGGGAAAAGCTCAAATTATTGAGCGCTCAAAATATTGAGCGTGTGACGTCAGAGGCTCCCATAGGCGTAATGCTGAGGGCTCAAAAAATTGAGCCGTTTCAGGAACACGTTTTGCAAAAGCAACTCGCAACACCTAGGGAGAAATGGCAACACCCTAGGAGAATCACTAATGATGCAAAACAGATTAGGCTTTCATATTTTTCACTGCTCAAGCTTCAATGATTGGGGGAACACCAATTTATAGGTCGAAATCTTACAGCATACCAGGATGACTTAAAAACAGGCCAATATTTATGTCGAAATAAAAGTTATTTTTTGTCCATTCACGTTTTTTACTAGGGTTCTGTTGGAAAGAGCATTTTTCATACTACCCAAAATGATTGCGATTCAATTTCACATTACCCATATCGCAGAATATTTTTCATTTGGCGGCGCCGTTTGTTTATTTCGTCGCGACGTCTCCGGTCGCGTGGTTGTCGTCGTTCCTGTGTTGAGGGTAAGTTTTTATCGTTTTAGTTGTACTGAGATGTTAAAAGGTACACTGAAAAGTTTGAATATGCTGTGATTTTAAATTTGGAAACACGTAAACGTCAATCAATTCACGTTTTCCTCAATTTTCGTGCAGATAAGTAACTGTCGACGAAAGTGGCGCCATCCGATATGATGATGTTTTGAAGGAAGGAGACACAATATGTTTACGTGAATTTTTTTGTTTTTTAGTGGTCTAAGTGCTTCAAAGAGGCTGTGAATGTTTTCTTCACACAATTTTTCATTAGGTATGATGAGGTAAAAGGTAGTTTCAGTCTTAACTTTCATATAATATCATATAAACATATGATAGTCCACTGCTATCATTGATTGAGTACCTTGATATTTGGCATTTCTTATTAATTTGAATGTATTCTCTATCCATATGTCCTGATAGTAAGTGACAATACTCTGCCAATATGTTTCCATAGTTTTCACATTCATTTTCCAGTCCTTTACATAACATCACAATTTATAATCAACAAAACTCAACTCCTTCATTACTTCACAACACTGACAGCATGACAGACTGACAGTCAACTATTGTGTGGGTGAATGCTGAAACAGGATAGCCACTTTGCTGACTGGCTCGCTCATATGAAATAAGATAAAAATGATCCTTTATATCATTTCCATCTGGAGGATCGGAGTCAACGGAAAAGGAAGGCCACTTTCAAGCCTCAAGGTCTAGGCCGCCAGACGCCAGTCGGCAGTCACCACCAAATTTATAATCGATTAATTCATTATTATACTTTGAGACCCTTAGGTCACTGAATCAGCATCACATTTTCAGTTTCAATATAGTAAAGGTTTTTATTTGTATGATGTGAAATATTTTCCTGAATCAGAATTTAATTATCCCTAGGTACCTAGTAGAGGTTTTGGATTTAATGCTCATTGTTGGTGTGCAGTCAGGATTTTTTGACAGGTCCAGATAGGGAATCCTGAGCAATTTAATAGTAAAGTGGTCTCCTTATAATCACCACACATTTTATCAAAAGCATTTGCAAAATTCATTCAATGAAGAATTTTATCAATGTTGCACCCATTTCTTAGACGACCTAGGCTGCATCTTTTTTTTAGTTCCTGTTGTATGACATACTTTCCGTTTTGTTCCACTGCATAAAGAAAAAAATCGTTTGAGATCACCAAACAGCTTTTCTTTTTCTGGCAGGTCTGCACAACAAAGCGGTCGCTGGCGAGGACGTCGGCCGTCTCTGTGGGTAAGGTCATCTGCTCAGCCTTTGTGGAGATCAGCAAGACGTCACTAAGATGAAGACTTCGCTGGAGCAGAAGCCGCTGACCCGTGTCCGATCGGGCAGGTCATGCTCGACGGCACGAGCCACAACTCGAACGACTTGGTGACATCAACAACATGGTGGAGCAGGTGAATGAGTTTGGCGACGTGTTGTGCGACTGCAAGAAGGGTTGTCTGCGTGTTCTGGCCGGCGGAGCGGCGACGCTGCGCAGTCTGTGCTGGCGGTGAGCAGGCTGGCCGTGGTGACCGCGCACTGTCCGCACGGCCACATGGAGGTGTGCCCGCGCCTTTTGCCCGCACGCCGCTACCTCGCAGCTGGTCTGCAACCACGCCGTCGCCGCCTGTAGCCCGATAACAAAACGGCTGTCTGATAATGCCGCGTGTTCTTTGTGATGTTGCTACTGTGATCGTTGCCACTGCTGGTCTGAGACTCGATGTTTCCATTCGTCTTTTACATGTTAAGGATTTGATAATGATAAGCTTAGTCCGAGCTTAGGTCGTTTATATCATTTGGTATATGGCATATTTTGGATCAAAGCAGTACGACACTGCCTCCTGCTTTTGTGATGTATGCTGGCAAGACGCAGGTTCCGGTCGCAGGTCACCCGGACCCGGTTCCAATGTGGTCGGGCTGGCATGCGATAATGTGATGTTGTTTTGCTCGTCTCTGTGTTCCACACTTGATGATGTTTGTGAATCTAACCCACATTGTATAGTATTTTTGTTTGTTTGCGGCCGATGGCCTTGTAAGTTGTAACCGTGGCAATACAGTTTTTCCTGCTATAATTCTCCAATATTCAAGGGTGGGTGGATATCTCTGTATTCACGTATTCCCTTCTCCCAGTACAGTCAGAGAATATCAATTACAGTATTCATACGGATTATTCAAGCCTTGTATAATTATTTGAGGTGTGCCGAATCCGAAAGACCGATAAAACTACTAGCGGAAAATGTGACATGATGCCATGGGTTTGTGAAAAGTTTAGGTACCACGTAGCATTCAACTTCCTGCATTTCTGTTTCAACTCAGTTTAACGTATTTCAACGAACATAACATCAAAAATGGCAGCCAGTACCGGCTTCACCTGTCACGGAGAACGCTCAAAAAATTGAGTGTAGATGCTGGCCGGCACTCAATTTTTTGAGCGCCAGCTGACTGTCGTCTGTCGTGGCGCTCAATTTATTGAGTATCGCGGTCCCGAACGACAAGTGGCGCTCAAAAAGTTGAGCGTCTTTAGGGCATTTTCTTTCCAAAAACACCGATATAAATTATCAAGGCGAGTGTTCGAGAAGAAACCTTGTTGCTCTCTCTTGCCATTGATACCTTATTTGGATACGATATTTGCCGTAGTGTGACGCTAAAGGCATTGTTAAATACCATCGTTTCGCCTATTCCTTCATAATGGGGCCCGCTCAATTTTTTGAGCGCTCAATTTTTTGAGCTTTTCCCCCTTGTGCGTGGGACTGAGACGGTTGTTGGCACGGTCGACGGGATCGGGCAGACAATAGACATCAGCAGGTCATGCGGGACCGAGCACCAGCGTTCGCTATCACAAAATCTCCTGACTCACAAACTCACTGGCATGTTCCATAATGTAACCTTTATTTTGTTGCCCGGCTCTGATCAGTAGTAGTGCCCAACCGGTGACTGACGCCTGACGGGGCCTTCAACAGGCGTGGTGCAAGCACGGCCGATGGGATCGGGCAGATACCAGGCCACGCGGGACCTATTGCCAGCGTCCGCTCGCAAACCACACGCCGGAAATACAGGAATCACAACGGTCAATACGCACACGATAGCATACGTTATCTGAACTAGGGAATCCGACAATCCATAACCTCACTCTCGACCGGTGAACTGTTCCCGCCGTGGGAGAGTCACAATCAGGTTCACTGAACATGACTTAAATACCCTGAGACGAACACGAGACAAGATAAGTGATATTTAAGATGTTTAACTCCCGAAGACATTTAATCCTCGCCGGCCGAAGGGGGGGTTGGTGCCACCCCTGACGGTTTTTTTCGCGATTTACGCCGAAGTACGCCGAAAATTTCGGCGCAAGCCGTCGATTTACGCCGAAGTACGCCGAAAATTTTCGGCGCAAACGCCCAACTACGCTCGAGTTCTCGACGAAAGCGTGCATTTTTTCCAGTCGGGGGTAGGGTTAGGTCAGGTTAGATTATGTTTTGTTATATATTTAACTGTGAAAAGACAATTGCGGCTCACATGAGACATATATATGGCAGCAGGGCGTCACTACTGAGAGAGTAATCAAAGTCTGCTAAGAGAGTATTCATTCTCAAGTCTGTAGGCCTAGGTAGGTACCATGTAACCATTCATTTTTCAGGTTATACTG